AACACAATATTTCTACACAATTCACCATGACGGTCGTTAGATATCTCGCCAGCTCTAAAATTACGTGCCGCACAAAGAACAAATGAGTTAAGGAATGAAGCCCGAAACTTTATTAAGCGCGGTGGTGCAAGCACTACTACCGCTACAATAAAGGTAAAAGAACACTGTGAATAAATATGTGAATATTACAAGAGTAATACATCAAAATACAACCCTTACAAAAAGTACTGTTTACTTGTGTTTGTTTTCACATCTCATCTCATAATAGCTATATTAATATATGAAAGAAAGACATTTATTTGAAGTTGAAAATTATTTTGTAAGAATTTCGCAGCTGAATCTTGTGTTAAAGGTAAATTAATCACTATTCTGAGGCAAGTGGGAGATACATATGAGGTTGTATCACTCATTTGACATTAGATACAAATAAGGAGCTAGGACATGCTTGTTAGTGTGTGCACGTGTCAGTTTAGATGATAACAGTGTATCAAATATCTCCATATTGCTTTTAGCATCATGCACAAGCCAAAAAGCATCATTTGTTGAATGCCACCTTAAATGAACTCTTGCTTGTCTGCATGAAATGGAATATTTTGATTTGGAAAAATTAAATACATGTTTTTAAACCTATTGTACACTTCATCCATGCAATATATATATAAATCTTCTGCTGGAACAACAGATTTCTCTCTGGTGACATATGCCAAACTTATCCAAACATTTAGTTTGCTTAAACCCCACCTCTTTCTCACAATCGACTGCAAGCTCACATTCAGATCTGCCTCCAGCCAATCAACAACCAATAAATAGAACCCAAAAAGTCCATACCCTTCTTTTCTTTTTTTTTCGACAATCCGTTTCACTCATGTCAAAACATGTAAGAAAATATCTGTGCTACTTCTGTTACATTGCGACTTTATACACCAGAACTGACACAAAGTTGCCACATTTAACACTTGCTCATTAGGGTGCACTCATTTGTCTATTATAAAAATACATAAAAAATTCAATTCATAGATACAATGATTTGAATACAGGTATACTATGAGGAGAATGTTTTCAATTTCCCAACTAAAATTCATTATAAATATTTTAGGGCATAAAACCCCTGCAGACCCTCATGAGTGTGTGTCTAAGCCAATACATTACTTAAAATATCAGATAATTTTTATGACAAGGCAAGGTTAGTTCAGGCTGTAAAGTGTCATGTGGTCCAACTGAATCCTCAGAAATGTAATGGTATGTATTAATAATTCATCAAAATATTTGGAAAAAAAAACATTTACCTTGAAAAATATATTTTTTTTTTTTTAAATAAAAATGAAGATGCATGTAGTCACATGTATTGAAATTGAACTGATGAAAATATGTTATACGTTTTACTTGTTAGTTACAACACATGACATTTTTAGAAGAAAAAAAAAATAATTGAAACTTTTCTAAAAGTTTTTCGAGAATGTATGATATGAACTAGACCCAACCCTGATTTTTTTTTTTTTTTTTCAGATTTTTCCTTTTCTTTTTGGTGGACATTTGTTTGTCATTAACCCTCTGTGGTTCAGCGAGTTCAGGCTAAGTTTAAGTTTATTTTTCAAAGCTCTGTTCATGATTGTGCAAATGTATGTCCATGTGAAACAGGCCTGATGAAAGCCCCAAGGGTAAAAGGAGCTGAAACCTGATACCAACAAACATCCAAGTTAATGTCATTGTCAACGTTTCCATACACGACCATCTATAATTCTATATGTGCCAATTACCAAATTCAAATACACACACAGTGGCCTTGCATTTCCAAGAGCACGCAGTACACACAAATACATAATCCGAAACACTTGTGGTGCTAAAGCAGCCTTGTTTAAAAGCCCCCACCCCGCATCACATCCTGTTCCGTGAGCCGGAATACTTGTTTATACTCGCACGCTGGCCTGTGCTGTGTTAGGCCCTGTGTAAAAATACACGGCGAGGTCAGGAGTTCAAGCCGGCTCTGTCTGCTGCTGGCACACCATACTGCCTCGCTTGTCAGCTGCTTGCCAGAGGAGGGCTCATCACTACGCCGTCCTCCCGCATGGCTGTCAACACGACGATGCCACTAACGCCACCACGCAACACGTGGTGTGCGCCAGGCAACTCGCAGCCATGTCAATCTCGGCAAGACGGCCGTAGGTTATGAAGAATTACGGGAGCCATGTCATTTCATGCTCTCTCAACACGTCTGCAGATGAAATATATTAGCGGAGCGAAAATTTATTGTTCCCGTCGAAGAAACTGTGTCGCGTCTGAATAGGAATTACGAGTCGCGCTTAAAGCAGCAGGCTGAGGTGCCTGAGGTGACGACGCAGTTGATCCAAACATTCAAAGTTCTTGTAAATCAAGGTTATTGCGAGCACAAAAAGTTCATTTTTTAAATCACAGAGCCACTGTTTCATTGAGACAAGCGCTCGGTCGGCTCCATGACCTCCACAGTCTGTTATGAAAGCTAAGACACCACTGTTCCACAGCACGCTACACCATTTCAACAAAACAGACCTGCTACGGATTTAATAACCTCGCTTTTCTGGAATCCATCTGGGACTCTACGGCTGTAACAATGTAAAACCATGAACAAGGCTGACTCTTTATTAAAAAAAAAAATTTAAAAGGGTCTGACAAAAATGGTGGCTGCTCTCATTTGGGCGCTCTGCACGCAGCACATTTGCAGTAAATGTCACGGCGGAGGTTTGAGCCATTTTCTCTTTGGCGGCGGTGGATTTTTAGTGGTGTCTGTCTGTGCAGTGTGAAATTACACCCTCACATTAAAAAGAGACAGAAGTGAACCGAGGTACAGCTCACGTCTAATTCTGTAGAGCACAGGGGGTTTAATGTACAAGGACCTTTCAAATCAACCATCAGGGCTTGAGTTTTTTTAAATAAAGCTTAAGAATTTATTTTCAGTGTTTGCTAAACCATGTTCCTGACAGCATTTTCAACAGTATTAGAAAATGACACCTAAAAACACTGAATCTTTTTTCTTTCTACTTGTGGAGTGTTTTATTAAGTCACAACCAGGCTACTATCAATAGAATTCACTTTAAAAACATCAAAAATCGTTTTTTTTCTCTCTCAATTCCCAGGCCAGGGCTCAAAAAACTACAGAAATAGTTTGCAAATGTTTGTGGCTGAACGTTTGATGGCGTAAATAAAACAAATATATTTCTATTTTATATTTATATATGTATATATATTTACATAGCTTGCCCTCCTGTTCCACTTGACAAGTTTCCTTCCTCCCACTTCCTTCAACAACTGGAAAGCCCAAACTTTCTTTTAGTGTTTTCAAAATGAAACAAACAAACAAAAAAAAAAGCAGGAATCAGCTATGTTAATATTTTTACACAAACACTGATCAAATGCAAGCAGGATTGATTTTGATGATCCGATGCTCCTAATGAAGTCCTGAGAGAGAAAACCGCGGCACAACAGAGGAAGCTGAGATGAACCCCCACCCCCTTGACAAAACACAAACAAAAGCTAAGCATGAGGGGGCATCTCATTTGTGCACTGAGATATTAAAAAGATAATATAGACAAAAAACAACTAATTCACACACTCCTCATTTTGGGAGTGACATCACAACTATAATTCAACCAAAAAAGCCCCATCTTCAAAATCTAACATTTTTATAACTTGTTTGGAGTCTAACCAGGTTCATCTCTTCAGTCAAAAGCCCTGCAGGTTCCTGGTTGCCAGGAACTGTGGGAAGAGAAGCGGGAGCAAAAAGCCATGAAGAGGTCCAAGTCACTTTGTTCTTCATCTTGGAAACAAACTTTGAGTGAACCCCAGGTGACGCCAGCTCAAAAGAGCCAGGCATAACTCTTTTCCTCCTCGGAGAACCTTGCTAAACAAGAGGAGGAAAAAAAGCTAACCTAGTGCCATGAGGCCCCTGTGATCGCTGACACAGTGGCCCTCCGAAGCCCTCTTCAGTCGGCCGTAATTTCACTGTGGAGGGGGGAACCTCTCCACTGCAGCGCCTTTTAGACAGTGTGGCAGAGAGCCAAATTCAGCTTCCATGTAATGAAATCTTTGTAAATTACACTTTGGGGCTAATTAGTAGGAAGATACGGCTGTGTTTTCTTTCTCTTTTTTTTGACATTTGTTGTTGTTTCTCGTTGTAGCAATCTGCCTCGAAAACCTTCACTCAGGGACGATCGCATAATCAAAACAGCATGTTCATTTTACTCTAATGAATAGTGCTTCTGATGGACTTTTTAAACTGCTCTTAAAGCACCTTATTCAACCAGCTACATTTTATGCATAGAAAAACTTCCAAATGTATCCATTAACAATTTAGAATCTGCATCTAGCCAGACAGCACAGCAAAGAAAATAAGGTATGTCGCAAGTTTAGAGTCGAGTTTATAAAACTCAGATGGGCATTATCAAAACCATGAGAAAGAGCGAGTAATTTAAAGCCAACACTCAAAATCTCAATTTAATGATTAAAATAGCATCCTAAAATCCATTGATATGCTCATACACTGTAGGCTATAAAAGTAAAATAAAATGAGAAAAAGCCTCATCAGTGGCGCTCAGTGCAGCATAACATAACCAATGGTACAATGCAATGTAAAATGCTGTATTAAGTAATACACTTCAGCTCAGCTGTACAAATTATAATCCTAGCACACAAAATAATAATAGCTATCTATTTGAAGAATCTGAATGCTGTATGAATCACACAATATTTGAATACCATTAATTTCTGTGTTATTATTGTAATATCATAACTTTGACATAGTGCAGTCTTGACTCTAACTGCAAATTCTCCTCTATCAAAATATCTAAAGTAATAACGCACATTCTCACAAGACATGCAACACATCACTGTATTAAAGAGCTCTCTGGCAAAAAAAAAAAAAAAATCAATATTTCAATATTCAGCTTAATGTGATAACTGGATTTAAACAAAGGGTAGCACTTGCAAGTTTTCACTTTCTGTTCTCTGTGTAAGACAGGAAAACCCACCTGTTTTTTCTTTTATTTCACAAAGGACGTTGAATAGAGCCGGCTTCATTCTGTGACAATTCAGTGCATGTTTCCTAAAAACACAAACAGAAAATAAATACCAAGCCGTCACTATGCATGACCTGTCAAAACTGTCAAAACACAGACATTAGGCTTAGAAGAAATGTCTGCTATATCTGATGGAAATGTGTTTTTGAGTATTTTACAAATGGTATTTGAAAGAAGACAGCTGACAAATGGCTCTAAATTGTGCAGCACTTTTTTGGAAGTGATGCATGTGTTAAATGAGGAAAAACTGTCAGAATATTTCACGTGCATCACAGATAGCACCATAAATTGGATTGCAAAGTGAAATTACTATCAAATTCTCATATAAGGTGACTAGCTATATTCCTTTTCCAGAAAACAGCACAACAAAAATAACAGAATAAATATTAAACCACAAATATAACTTGCATATCAGTATAAAAGTGTTTTAATATGCATGGTAATTATTAAACATGCTTTAAAGTCAATTTCAAGTGGTTCAAATATGATTTCAAAAGTAAAATGCTTGCATTTATTTCAAAGTGTTTTAGAAACACCTGTGTTGACAGTTGCCAAGGCTAATAGGGTCAATTGAATTAATTTTTGTCAACACTTCAGTCATATAAATTAGGCATCATGTAGTTGCCTTATTGATTTTAATTACTATAAGTTAATGTGTTATATTTCATAAAATATTTATATGGAAAGTAGCAGATTTAATACCGCTCCTTCAATACACAAACAAGTAGATACAGAAACACTGTAGACACATTGTCATTGTACAGTTATGGACTTTCTTGCAAAGATTAAAAATGTTTAACCATGCATACTCGGTAACATTTATTTCATTGCTTAGTTCTTAGGTGCTTGCAGTCCAATAAATAAATAAACTGGGTCTGAATCCACCCGCAACATGTAGTAAAGTCTATATGGAACTGAATCAATGCGCTTTCTCATTTGTAACTGCGAGATCCAGGGCAATTGGAAATCGAAACGATGCATCTGGGAAGAAGAAGGCGACAGCTGAGATTGTGCACAGAAGCACTCGGAAGTGGCTGTAACATATTTGTAATGCAAAATAAAAAAAAATTACGCTAGCATAAAAGTTTAAAAGAAGATGCGAAAAGAAAGTCGGTGCTCTTCGGGTGGCGCGTAAAAATATAAAGCAGCTGACTTGTTAAAACACTCGGATTCAGTAGCTGCTATGAAGTTAATAATACAGAGACAGCATGCATACATTCTTAGATATATACCTGGCTTGTGCCTCGTCCAGACTTTGGTCGGTTATGGTCATGATTTGTTGTAATATGTCTCCAATGTCCTGTTTTCTTCCCTCGCCGTCCGCTCCTCCCGTGCTATCCTGCATATGCTGCGCCAGGCCGGGGTGTCCGGCCATGCCCACCCCGTGAGAGGAGTGCATCAACCGGGGCTGATCATCCATCCTCGCCGCTGTTCTCTAGACTCTGATGACTTTTTCAATTCTTGCCTAGGAGAAGGAAAATTCCTTCGGGAACTCTCTCCGTCACTCCCCTTTTTCTTTCTGGATGTCAGGAGCGCGCTTACAATATGGAGAGAAGGAGAGAGGGGAGAAAAGGCAAAGCTCCTTCTCACAGCTGGTTTGGGTGAAATCTGATCTGAAGAGCTGCTTTAGGATCAAGCCACTCCTGCTCTTGCCACCAAAGCCAAGACAACAGAGCCCAACTTTGTCTAAGGGCTGCTGTAATCCTGTGTAATCTGCGACTCTGCCGAGTAACTCCTTGTTTCCTTTGACAGCTTTAAGACGTGCTTTGAAGGCGTTAAACGTGGGGAGAGAAGTGCTTTTGTTTCGCACAGGTCTGCTGGCAACACTGACACATAACGGGAGGCTCCGCCCACCAACAATGGCTCATAGCGATGGGGCACCGCCCATCGCCCGTGATTGGACGAGAGCGCGCTGTTGGCCCCGCCTCGGTTCTTCCACGATACGTCAATCATATTCCCGAGGAAGGTGGGTCGCCGTAATAAGCTTTAAAATGTGGCGTTAGCGCTGGGACTGGACAGGGTGGTAACACGGTGATGGATAGGGGTTGAACATGAAAATAAATAATGGTGCTTGGCGTAAAGTCTCAGTGTCCGCTCTTCCCCACTATCAACCAGGACGGGACTGGAGCCCCATGTTATCTCGTTCTGTAAATGAATGTGGTCATTAATGAACGTTTTCATCTGATTCCACCTGTAACATTTATGACTAAAAATTATTTTTGAGTTTGAATGGCTTAAACAGAGTTGTTAATGTATTTTGCACAAAGTTGTCAATTATAAATGAAAGTCAAACTGTCAAATGTGAACATTTGTACATAAAATTATGTCTGTGTCAAAACCCCATAAAACATGGCATAACACATATACAACTGCCATATTTGATACAAGTAATATTTACAGGGTCTATTAATGTATCATGCAGATTGCTCTGTCATATAAACCATGATCATATTACATGTAAGCATGTAGTGTAAGATGAGGGAAAATGTCCCCCTTAAAACACAC